TGTTACCATGTGGCATGCGGCTGTCATAGAAAACGTACGAATGAAAGAAGAAGTGCAATGTCACCCATCACCCTACATTTTTCTCCGGCTGTCATAAGTATAATTACGATTAAAAGAAGAATAAAGAATAGTCTATCAATGATAAGAAATGTCATTTTGTATTAAGAAACATATGGAAGGTTCGAGAAGGTTCAAGGAAGGTAGAGAAGTCGATGATTCTGACGTCATAGTTTTAGTTTTATGATAGTCGTTGTACGTTAATGTTAATTGTTGTTTATTTTAAAAGTTTAGGTTTGGAAATAAATTTAGTTTACCAAAAAACCAGCTTAATATTTGGGAAAAGTGGTGGGATTCATAATAAAAATTCATGGTAAATACTAGATTCACTGAGTACGTCCCGCAGCATGGTTTTGAAAAGGAAAGATGAGAAGGAAAGAAGCATGAAGGAAGAAGAGGAGGAAAAGAAAAGGCAGGAAGGAAGAAGAATAAGTAGAAGAAGAAGAGGAGGACGAAAAGGAAAGGTGCAGAAAGGACGAAGTAGAGGAAAAGTAAGGGCGTAGGAAGGAGAAAGAAGAGCAGTGGGAAAAGCGAGAAGAGAAGAAGGAAAGGTGCGGGAAGGAAGAAAATAAGAGGTGCAGAAAGGGACGAAAAAAAAAGTAGAGGCGTAGAAAAGCAGAAGTAAAAGTTATGAATGATTTGCTACAATAACAAGAAAACCAAGTAGATCTCTTAGCACAACAATAAGATAATTTAAAAACTAATGCAAAGCAACATTAAAAAAAGGCTACGGTAGAGTTGTAAAGACAAATTAAAACTGAAATAGTAGAGTTATAAAGAAGAATTCGTAGCCAAGCTTCGGTAAACAACATCGAAGCTGAAAACACTAATTTGTCTTCATCTATAACATAATCGAGCCACGTTCGAACCTTAGTTTCACAAAACCGAAATAGCAAGTCCTTTAAGCCACCCACGTCAATCAACATTCGACTCAAATTTGGAGCTACAGCTCGAACCCATTGGCTAAGCCGGGAAAGAAATTTTGACTTCGTTGATAGTGTCTCTGCGCAGACAGGTAGCAACCGTTTTACAGTAACTTTCCCAAGAGGAACACAGTTAGTCATCTCTCTCGTCAAAGCTTCGGAAACAAGGTATGGCCAGCAGCATTTGGTATTCCAAAGACAGCTAAAGGTTCGTAGTCAGAAACATAATGAGAGTCCACAGGAATTCAATGCCAATATAAAAAGATTGTTGGATTTGGACTATTCACAAGATCCCAAAGATTTCCTAGAACAAATCGGCATAGAGGCATTCATTGAAGGAGTACAGGGTGTAAAAATGCAGCAGGCTCTTCGGCTACAACACCACAAGGCGTTGAGTGAGACACTGATTGCAGTCCAGGAATACAAAGCAGTCAAAATCATATCTAGATGGTCACGCGCAAAAATTAGGAAAAATTAGATTCTAGGAAAATGAAGAGGTCACTACTAGTACTATCCTCCACAAATCCTAAATATCCTGCAAAATTTGCAACGAAATAGGCAAAATGAAAGGAGAAGATGCTTCAATTGCGGAAGAATCGGACACCTTCAAAGAAACTGTAGAAGCAGGGCTCGTTCTATAAATCAGGGAATGATGCCAAACATTTATCCAGAATCTAGATCAATCTTCCAAAGCGCGTCACGAGATCCAACAAGAAAAAATTACAGCAAATATACATCTCGAAGAAGCTTTTTACCCACACCTAGTCGGCTTTCTAGCAATAATTAGAGAAACGAATAAAAATGGCTGGCTATAACAGAGGGCACCAAAATTCGCACTTAAACACGTCTACGTACGCCTCTCCAGCCACAGACTGACGAAATAGTAGAAAGACATTATAAAACTATATGCCAGTATCTTTCAATTTTATTCTATAAAAAACCAAAAGAACTAGAACAATTTAATTCCTCTAATTCTGATGGCCTACCGAAGTTCTCAATATGAACCGACCAGTTATACTTCATCTATGATGATTACTGGAAAGGAGACGAAACTTCCCAATGATCTTCTTTTTGGAAGGCAGCCTCCTGGTAAAAAAAGAGGGCCATATACCAACCATGTACATACAGAACTTAAGAAATATTTTAAAATGTCTGCGGATTTGCTTGGGAACGTCTAAAAGTAAACAGCGACAAAGCAACAGTTAGAATCGACATGAATGCCACATGTGTACATTTTGAGATAGGCGACCCAGTTTGGATGTGCAATCCCAAGTGCCGAAAGGACATTGTTAGAAACTGCAACGAAACTGGAAAGGCCCCTACAATGTCCTGATCTATCGCATTCAGTTGTCAGCGGGAAGTAAACCCAAGATAATTTACATTGAAAAATTAGCGCCACATTGTGATTCAGATCCTTCTCGTTTACCCCAATCAGGTCCCAATAACCAAGTTATTCGGGAACGAATAATTAGGGAGGAGGGAGCAATGAAACCCTGCACCCGGCAGTAGCCTGCGGCTAATATACTAAACATACGAATGAAAGAAAAAGTACAATGTCACTTATCACCCTACAGTGTGCTGCGGTTGTCATAAATAAAACTACGAATTCCAGAAAATGAAAAAATAGTCTAGAAATGTCTCAAAAATGTCATTTCGTGTCAAGAAACATCTTAAGGGTTCGAGAAGATTCAAAAAGGTTGTAAGGAGATATATTAAGTCGATTATCCTGAAGTCAGAGTTTCAGTTTTATGATAGACGTTGTACGTTAATGTTAATATGTTAATAATGTGTATATTGTAAAAGATTAAGTTTGGAAATAATTTGAGTTTACCAAAAACTAGGATAACAATATTAAATCAAAAATTACTAAGAAGGCAGATACGAAATAAGAAGAAAAGAGAAACAAATTTCAAATAAAAGTTAAATACTAACGAATAACTCATTGATATACCTTTGGTACTAACTGGTTTGTTGGTATAATTTTACTGTGCTCTGCTTTTGAAACACTTTTATTTTTGATTCACACAAAATTTTGTTCTCTTTACTTCTCTTTCTCTTTAATACTGCTCTGAAGCATCTTGATTAGTCTGTCTCTATAGAGCATCCGACCATAGCACGTTTGTCTCACTTGGCCTATTGTGCATCCTTCGGAATAGATAAACCCCTCTTAGTCAGTCAGCAAGTCTGCAGATTTGATTTTATTGACAACGTCGCCGCAGTTACATTTGCTGACTTTGAACAACCCCAGAGCTGGACACCATAGGTCCATACTGGTTTTACGACTCACTTGCCATAAACAACTTTCCGAGCACTGATAACCACGATTTTATGCTATTAATCCAGTATATTTTTTATATTTCTGCATGTGCCCTTTCCTCCTAATCTTTTTATCTAAGTTAAGTCGTTTTTCATATCGTACCTTGGATCCGTTCATCATCATGGTTGTTTTACTTTGTCATGCTGGTTTAGTTAGTTGTTTGTTTTTATCAGCAACGTAAGAATGCTTCCTTGCGGTACTCCTGCTTTAGTTTGTTTTTCTCCTCTTATTTCCCCCTGTCCCAATTTTAAACTGTAAACCAAATCTTATTGAGAAATAATGCAGAATAATTCATAAACCTTCTCTATTTGATCTGTAACAATTGTAGACATACTTTATTGTAGAATGTTCGGTTATGCATAAAAAAGTATGGTTTTTTATTAGCTTTTCTCTCTATTATCACTTTAAGCCGCATTAATAGCGACTTTTCAAACTTTCGATATCTGTCCAAATATCGATAGAAGGAGAACATAATATCGCACCTTTGCTTCAAAAGTGACACAACTCAAAATTGATATCTGTTGAATTAATACCAATTAATATCTTGCATATGATTAGTAAACCACCCTTCAATCAACAAAATTGTTTTAACTTGGCTTAGTACAAACTTATCTCGATGATGCCTGTTATTTTTGGGATTTTGATGTAGGATTGTTTACTAAATTTATTTATTGTATTTTAACTCGAAAGATGTTAATTTTGAGTTATGTCACTTTTGGTTCAAGAGTGCGATATATTAAAAAAAATAACATCTGGTTGTTTGAAACACCATCCATAACGTATAACGAAACTTTACAGTAATTTCTTTATTAATAAAATTAATTAATGCCTTTAATTTCTAACCATTTTCATTTCAGCTAAAACAGGAGATTACTTCTTCTAATCTTGATTAACAGTTTTCATTACCCATCATAAGTTTCATAAGCTGCAGATAAGTTTTAATCCTAAGTAGGTAAAATCATTATCATTTTCTGTGAAATTTCCTGGTTTGAAATTGAAGTTCCGTTCTACAATATACGGGTCTCATCATTTTATTTTTAACTATCTTTTTTCAGTATTTCTTAAAAAAATGTGATATTGTCAGGTACAAACATCACAAAAGTTTAATCAGAAAACGTTTACCTACATGTTAATTTTATATTTGTAGAATGTTTAGAATTAGGTACATTTGTATTAACTTTCTTTTTGTTCTGTCTATTTATTTCTTTCTTTTATCGATAGATTAGGAAAATATTTACTTGCGTCTGACAACAGGAATCCAGAGTGATGAGTGATGAATAAAATATAAATCAATGTTGTGAAATGTAATTTCAATGTTGAATGTCAATCAGTATATATTATCCTTAACATCCTTTACAGTGTTAGAAATAACTTTACAAAGTCATTCACTGTAGATTAATTATTATTAATGGCTGCCTCGGTTTTAAAACTAGATTGAACTATATAGTTTACCTAAAATATCTAAACCTTTAGTTTATGTAAAACTTTGTACCAGATTCCACCAAGATAAAATTAAATTAAATACAAACTAATTAAAATGGTAATATTTTTTCTATTGTATAATTGTTTTCTATTATAGGTGGGGGTTATTAGAATTTAAAGGGAAAGCAACTAGAAAAGCTATTTGCTATCGTGTAACCATTTTTTTTTATCAACTATGTAAATAAACTTTTAAGTACCATTTAATTTTTCTGTACACTTACCAAAAATATTGCGATCCATGCTAAACCAATATTATCGAATGAAATAGTATCTTGAAAAGGATTATGATTTCTATCGGAACAAAGTGAAAAGTAGTAGTTCCAATTGATGCAATAAGTATCATTATTCCTGTATGGTGGCAGCTGTTTTTCTTCTACAGTCATATTACAAGTTTTAGATCCATTTTTGTAGGCTGGAAGATCGGAACAAAAATGCATTCCGGAATTAGCATTTTTACTGCAAATGAAATCAGAATCTACTGGTTTGTAGAAGTACCCTATTTCTCTGAAACAATAAAGAAAATATTCAGTTAAATATGTTTGATTTACTGTATTCAAATTATGGCTTTAATTCAATTTATAATGTCTAATTCTAATTCAAGATAACTAAATGTCGAATATACCTGATATTCGACATTTAGGTATCCGCAATCTAACATCTGACCTTTTACATCTGAAAAGGGATAAGATTAAACAGGGATTATAATAGAACAATATCCTCTAAGAAGGGCTACCATTAGATAAAAGCGAATCATTTGTCTATTACTCAACTTAAACTCGATTGACTCCTTCAAAGAGTTTTAAGACAATTTAAATTGTAATGTACTGGCATTTATCATTTATCTTCATAAAATAGTAAGTTACACAAACTACACAAAGTCCAAACAAATAATGATATTTATTAAAGGCAGAAAAAGGTAAAAAATGTCCTTTTTATCTTACAAAGATTTGTATTCGACCAGTTTCACAATTTTTATGTACTGACCTTTTGTTAGATCCTAAATAAATAACCTGAAAGTTGATAAGCATGTTAAAAACCCGTCTTTTGTTGAATTTCAAGTTTATGTTAAATAAAATGAAGGTCTAATTTCAGTAAAACTGTTTTAATTGCCAATGTTTCAATGATTTATTAATTGAAACATAGTTTTCCTCAAACTAGACTTTAATTTTCCGATAAACTATTGAAATTTTGAAAATAGCCAATATTGTACATGCAGTCAGCGAAAGCCTTTTAACTGTATCATGACAAAGTGACTGATATGGTAAAAGCCCTATAACTGTGACTCGACTGTCGTCGTAGTGACCTATACAGTTTATCCCATTAGTGCCATTAGAGATACGCAAAGAAGTTTCAAATAAAAGTTAAATAGATATAAAAAATACGTATTTTTGGACATACAGGGTGTTTCAGTTTTGCCTGGCAAATAAAAATCTATATTTTTTTTTAAATTGAACACTATGTATTTTATTTCAGATTTAAAATAATTCGGTAACACTGTATTCAACTCTAGAATTTAAAAATATTGCAGGGTTGCCAAGCAATTCATATTTTTATGAAATTAGAGAATTATGCAGACCCCAAAATAAATTATCATAATTTAGGTAGTTTTAAACTGATTTCAAAAAAGTTCAATATGCAAACTTATACGATACTAAGTTAACGAGTAGTGGTGATAGAACTGATTTATTTTATACAGAGTGTTTTGAAACATGTCTTAAATATGGCTAATTTTAAGTTCAATTTTCTCAGTTTTTTCAAATACATCACCCTGTACATTATTTTAGCATAAAATTCCTTATAAATTTGCTGATCCAACATTACCAGCATGTTAACCATTAACACATATACAGGGTGTCCCATCAGTGCATAATTGATCGATAGCTGTTTTATTATTGAAAATACGAAGAAATTTTAAATACAAAAAGTTGTATGACCATATTAAAGAATTGTTTTTATATATACAGAGACTTTATTAATTTGCTGTTTTATATAGGGTGTCAAAACGCGAGGTTACCATTTTTTTTTAATTTTTTAAATGGAATACCCGGTATTAATTAATGGGTAGTATAACATATATAATATTCCATTTGAACAATTGAGAAAATCGTACACTTGCATTTTGACACACCCTATATACAAATGAGTAAAGACTATTTAAATTTTTTGACGATGTGAAAGCAATCAAATATGTATAACTACCTGCAGGTTATTTTGCTTTAAAAAGGTATAGGATTGGTCAGCACCTTATTTATGGAACACCCTGTAAGTTTAAGAATAATTGTTATACAACTGTTATATTAAAAACTTATTCGTATTTCAAATAATAAAACAGTCATCGATCAATTACGGACTGATGGGACACCCTGAATATGTTATTAGCTAACATGTTGGTATCGTTGGATAGACAAATTTAAAATAAATTTTATGCTAAAACAATATATGGGGTAATACTTTTAAAAAAATTAAGTAAAGGGAACTTAAAATTAGCCATATTTAAGACATGTTTCAAAACACTCTGTATAAAATAAATCAGTTCCATCACCACTATTCGTTAGCTTACTATCTTATAAGTTTCTATTTTAAACCATTTTTAAATCAATGTAAACCTATTTAAATTATGATAATTTAATTTAGGGTCTGCATCATTCTCTAATTAAAAAAAAAATTGCCTGGCAACCCTGCAATATATTTTTGAAGGCAGACATTTATTGGGCCATTATTTCTACCGACCCAAATGTTTGTTGGGAAAGAATAAAACTTTGTGAAATAAATTTATAGACTAAGTAAAAAAGGAACAAAAGATACAAAATCGTTGTGTATAAATCCTACAAACTTCAAGAGATTTCTCCCGAGTTTTCGTGTAAACTAAGATATCTCTAAAACCCTTCATTATACGGAAATGTATAATTGAATCGGTGAGTGAAAGAACAATAATGGTAATTTTAACTGAGATAGGAAATTGTTTAAAATTCATAGGCCTATGACATAGCGAAAGAATAATACACCGACCAACATCATACGAGCGATGGGGGCTTGATCAATTTTCGGCTGAGTGGAAAAATAGTACACGTACGGTGCATGTACTGTTTTTTCACTAAGAAGCCATGTCGTTTCGTAGACAAATTTGACACAAATTTCAAAAATTGGTGGTCGCAATTTCATAAAAAAAACACCCCTAAATCATCTGATGAACAAAAAGCTAATTTTGTCATTCCGCAGCACAGCCAGTCTACATACACTGGTAAAACTCCTAGATATGTTACTACAAGTGCCTTCATAGGCGGTTTTCTCTCGCACACTTTTATGTGTGAAGGACATTAGACTGATCAAACCTAATGCCAATCTGTAGTTACCCTTATGGCGGGCATACACGCTACGGTCTGTCTGTGCAGGTGTGCCTGCACAGGTAGACATACACGTTACGACATGAAGCTAACCTGCGCAGGCACACCTGCACAGGTAGATCTCTCCGGTAGGCAGATATTTTTTTCTTAACCATCCTCCCGAGTCCTACCGCTTGCCGAGTCCTACCGCATTCCGAGTCCCTCACATGTTGCGTTTACGCGTTTGAAATAATTGGGGAGTACCTTTTAAAGTTGATTTTGTTTCGTACAATTTTATTTTTTAATTGTTGGGTTTATATAAAATTTTCATTGGAACCTCCAACCTTGAGGTGTTCAGTATTTTCCTTTTTTGTTCAGTAAGGTTAAAAAATTCCATTCTTTCGATGCCCTTATGAGGATTGTTTTACCGAAACTCAATTCGAGATTCTTCTACTTTCTAAAAATTTATATTTTAAAATTGTTAGTAAATGAATGAATTAAGAACTATACAATTACTGAACATATAATTTGGCTCCTGTACGCTTTAGGTACCTCGAAATTTAGAAAAAAAAAATTAATTACACTAAAAAGTACCCATTACATATTGTATACTTCTAAAAAAAAAGGATAAGAAAATTTTATCAAATTTATAATTTTATAGGCTATATCGTAATTTTTTTCACAATTAAAAAATGGGTAATATCAATATTTATGTATTTTATCTTGTAACTAACTGAAATTATTTAATAAATAAATAATATTTTAATTCATTTATAAAGATTTTCATTATCCTAATTAATTAATTAATTTTACGATATAAAAATATTTCAGTCTTGTTAATATTCACATATTTTATGTAGTATTATAAGGTGTAAAGTACTGAAACTCTTGGCAAAACTGTAAGAATATGATAAAATGTTAGGTTAGGAACATCAAAATCTTAACTTTTCTTAGAAAATATTCTGTTATCAGCATTTTTTTAGAAATTTATTCTATAGAATGGGTACTTTTTATTGTTAAAATTAATTTTTCAAATTCCGTCGTACCTATAAAGTGTACCGGACTCTATTTTTTACTCATAGGTATACCTATATACCTTGCTTACAAAAGTGAGAAACAAAGATACCTTTATTTTCTTTTATTATTTATTTATTTATTTATTTATTTATTTATTTATTTATTTATTTATTTATTTATTTATTTATTTATTTATTTATTTATTTATTTATTTATTTATTTATTTATTTATTTATTTATTTATTTATTTATTTATTTATTTATTTATTTATTTATTTATTTATTTATTTATTTATTTATTTATTTATTTATTTATTTATTTATTTATTTATTTATTTATTTATTTATTTATTTATTTATTTATTTATTTATTTATTTATTTATTTATTTATTTATTTATTTATTTATTTATTTATTTATTTATTTATTTATTTATTTATTTATTTATTTATTTATTTATTTATTTATTTATTTATTTATTTATTTATTTATTTATTTATTTATTTATTTATTTATTTATTTATTTATTTATTTATTTATTTATTTATTTATTTATTTATTTATTTATTTATTTATTTATTTATTTATTTATTTATTTATTTATTTATTTATTTATTTATTTATTTATTTATTTATTTATTTATTTATTTATTTATTTATTTATTTATTTATTTATTTATTTATTTATTTATTTATTTATTTATTTATTTATTTATTTATTTATTTATTTATTTATTTATTTATTTATTTATTTATTTATTTATTTATTTATTTATTTATTTATTTATTTATTTATTTATTTATTTATTTATTTATTTCTATATCATTCTAAATCGAAACATAAACTAGCTTGCACACATACATTATAATGCATCAGTGAGTTATCAATGTCTGTATTTATACTAGGTATTCATTTGACTAATTATTAAACTTTGTATTTATACTTGTAACTATTCCAATTTATTTGTATTTTCTTGAATACATATTATTATTATTATTATATCATCATCTTTCTGCATTTTTAACATAACCTATTTTCAACTGGTACGACAATAATAAGAAATATGTCCACTTTTCAATCAAATCAAAGAACGGTATTCGCATACGCAGCAAGTGAGGACTCGGCAAGCGGTAGGACTCGGGAGGATGGTTAAGAAAAAAATA